AAGCAAGTGAGGTTAGTATTGAATGACTATATTGTTCGCCTCTCTCTTTTGTCGGTCTCCTTTATGCACTGGTTGATTTTCCTCTTTCCCTTGGATGGCAATATTGTCGATGTGGGGCTGGTTTTGAAGCGGAGAGGGTGGCGAAGCAGGGGGATGTGGGCATGTAGAAACTGTGGGCAAGGACAGTGATCAGAGGGTGAATGCGTGGGGAAGCAAAAACATTGAGGGAGAGGGGTTTGGTGGCATCACAAATGAGTCAAAGTGATTAGTGTTAGATAAAGGCACAATATTGAAGTGGGATTCGAATAATGGAGTGGATTGATTCTGAGAAAATGAAGCATTAGTGTGGACAGGAAAGAAATGAGTGTTTTGTTGCAAATTATAAGTATGATTGTGTCAAACCCTAATCTGGTCGTGTAAGTTGATTATGATGGTATTAAGTCATATAATAATTTGACTTTTATTATCCATGCAAGCAATGAAGGAGCTGTTCTGTTATTTTCATCTGGGAGGGAAATTTGTGACAAATGGTGAAGGTGAAGTGAGATATAATAGAGGTAGCGTGAGGTTAAGAAGCATTAAGGATGGGCTGACACTAGAAGAATTGAAGCTAATGATATGGGAGTGTATTGGTGGTGATGGAAGAAATTATGACATTAAGTACACAGTGGCCTTTGATGAGAAGACATTAATTGACCTTCATGACAATGCTGAAATGTATAACCTTTTTGAATACAATGGGAACAACGGTCATGTGTATGTGGCCAAAAAAGGGCATAGGGATCCCCAACCAAGGGACAATGCATAAATGTAAGTAGAAGTTTGTCCTAACTATTTGTTGTCATTTATGAATTTTATCTTGTCATTTGTGTTAACGAGTCTTGTCATTGTGAATGCAGAACAGAAAGAGTCATGGACATGTCACAGCAAACGAAACTGGATGAGTCTCCTATTAGTTTGTGTTATGATTATGGCTGGCTCAATGAAGAAAATGCTGGTGAATGTGACAATGATGGAGGAAGTGGGCCCCCCAATGTGGATACATCCATCGGAGTTGAAGATATAGATGGTAGTGAGATGGTTCACATGAAATGGAGGGGACTTTTCATAGGGGTGGGTCAACATTTTCCTAGTGCAGAAGTATTTCGGGTGTCTGCATACAAGTTTGCACTTGCACACAAGTTTGTGCCCAAGTATGTGAGGAGTAGCAAGGAGTTCATGTCAGTGAGGTGTAAAGTTGAGGGTTGTCTATGGAAGCTATGTGCAAATCATGTAGGGAAGAGTTGTGATGTCCTACGAGTGACGACATTTATAAACTGGCATGTTCATTCTGCCCAAGATAGCTTGGACGTGAAGCATAGTGGAAGAGCTAGTTTGAACTCATCAATAATAATTGATGAGATCAGGGATCATGCAGACAAGTGCACTTCTGAGATAAGGAAGAAGTTGAAATGAGAGTATGGGATTGATCTAACATATAAACAGGCTTATAGAGCAAAAGAGAAGTCATTGGAAGACATATATGGCAGGCCTGAACAATCATACATGCTCATACCATAGGTATGGGAAAGGCTAAAGGAAACAGATGAAAAAACCGTGGCTGAATGGACTGCTATTGGGAACCAGTTTGAGCGTGTTTTCATTGCCTACAGGTCATGCATTGAGGATTTTTTGGGTGGCGCGAGGCATATTATGTATGTTGATGGAACTCACTTAAGCGGACCATACAAGGGGACAATGTTGTCAGCTTCAGCTTATGATGCAGATAATGAGCTGCTGCCATTTGCAATTGCAATTGTTAAGGGAGAAACACTAGATGACTAGACATGGTTTTTCTATATGATAAAAAAAAATCCTGGGTTCTGTGGAAGTAATGATTGTATCAGATCAATACAATGCTATCATTGGAGGAGTGGCATCAATCTTTGGGGGTCAAAGACATGCCTTTTGTTACAGACACATCAAGGAGAATTTTAGTTCAGAAGTGATGAAAATAAATAAGGGGCAAACAAGGACAAATGGCCGATCAAAGGAGGATGCATTACATTTATTGGATAAAATTGCATATACAAGGACGGATGAGAAATTTGAGGCAGCAATGGATGACATGAGAGCCTTTTCTCCAAGGCTATTTGATTGGCTTATTCGTCATGGGGATGTAGATAGGTGGGCTAAAAGCAGGTTCCCATATAAAAGATGGGACAATATTACAAGTAATATAGCAGAATCATTTAATGCATAGATGGTCAATGAGAGAAAGCATATTGTACCCTAATTGATCTATGAGCACCGAGAGAATGTTGTAAGAAAGCTGCATGCCTCCAATGTGGCTATGACCAAATGGAAGAATTGCGTTGGTCCAAATATAGAGAGTAAGATGCAGCATATGGTGGCCGGGTCTGACCATATGTATGCTGAAAATTATGGCGGGGGAAGAGTGAAGGTGACAACATCATGTGGAGACTATCGGGTTGATCTTGGACTACACCAATGCAGTTGCAGATCTTGGCAAATGACGGGGATCCCTTGTTCCCATGCTTGTGCTGCCATCAAGATTGTGCACGGCAATGTTTATGATTATGTTGATAATTGCTATAAAAAGTCATCACAAGAAAAGATTTATGCTCGCACTATGATTCCTGTGGTAACAATAGACATGCCTCACCCAAATGACTACTATAGGATAGGAAATGTCAGTGAGCAAGTTTTCTTGCTACCTCCCATCACATCTCGACCACCAGGAAGGCTAAAAGTAAACAAGGATGAATCATAGTTCTAGAACAAATGGATATACCAATATGGAAGATGCCACCAACCTGGACACACAAGGAGGAGTTGCAGAAATCCTAACCCATCATGAAGTTTCGAGTACAGTGGGGATGGGTTATTTTTTTGTGTACATAGTTGTATGCTCTGCCGTTGTCAACTTTTTTGGGACTGGGGTTGTAGTTAGGAGCTAGGTAGAGATATTTTTTTGTAAGTAAGGTGATAGAAATTTCATTGATGTTAAACTAATGTTAAACTGATGTTATATAATCAGATCAGGTTATGCTTATAATTATCGTTGTCATATTCAGACCACTTGTTGTTATTTTAAAATTTATTCTGGTCATTGGTAGTGATGCTATCAGCATAAGCTGACAGTTGATGTTATATAATCGGATCAGGTTATGGACAATATTATCGTTGTCATATTCGAATCAGTTGGTGTCATTTTAAAATTTGTTCTGGTCATTAGCAGTGATGCTATCAGCATAAGCTGACTGTTGATGTTAAACTGATGTTATATAATCAGATCAGGTTATGGACAATATTATCATTGTCATATTCGGACCACTAGTTGTCATTTTAAAATTTGTTTTGGTTATTGGCAGTGATGCTATCAGCATAAGCTGACAGTTGATGTTAAACTGATGTTATATAATCGGATCAGGTTATGGACAATATTATCGTTGTCATATTCGAATCAGTTGGTGTCATTTTAAAATTTGTTCTGGTCATTAGCAGTGATGCTATCAGCATAAGCTGACAGTTGATGTTAAATTGATGTTATATAATCATATTAGGTTATGGACAATATTATCGTTGTCATATTCGAATCAGTTGGTGTTATTTTTTGTTGGATACCAACAGGATATATTGAAGTAAAATTGAGTGACCTAAACAAGAAATGGAAGCCAATAGCACATATCCAATGGGGTTGTTGTCATCATCTGTTTTGGTGTGGTTAAACTCAGATTCATTCATGTCACTGGGGAATAAATTGGCATCATGGATCTCAACATTCATAAATTTATGGACACCAATCTCTGTTAACCATAAGTATACACAGTAAATTTTCGGTCAGCGTACAATGCACATTACATACAGCAATCTAATAGAGGACAAGTGAATTATGAGCCTAACATCAAGACACCTAAGACAAATGCCTTTTCTTGGACTTTCTGCTCTTGGTTGGTTGTGGTTGTTGAATAAGAGCCAATGCCTCGTCACGTTTTTCATTCTGTTCATGATTCCCCAACCACCATGTCAGGTCACGACGAAAGCTAGTAACTTCTTCCTCTGTGTAGGTAAGGGTCACACCAGGTTCCCATCTTCTCAGCCACATCATGCAGTACACCCCACAATCCCTCCTGTGGACACAACAATATCAACACAGTTAGTTAACACCTCTGACATGTTCATTTACCACACAGAATTCGAATTTGACAAAACTGACAGGTTATTCTGTTGAGGAACGTTTACAAATTTCATGGGAGACATTGGCTTTTTCCCAACCAATCCTGGCTTGACCAAGTCTAATATAATATTGAACCTCATCCTCTGAAAAAAGATTCAGGATCAACATAGAAAGTTTAATGATTTTACAAGTTCAAAAACTAGGGTCAAGACAATGAGTTTTTTCTTACACAGTCATCCACAGCCATTTCCACTGGGTCTTTGATGACAACCTTCTTCTTCTTCGTTCTGTCCTTAGTTCCGAAATGGTCACTCATAGAGTCTAATATGTGGAAATCCAATGTGCTGGGCTGAATGGCAATGCAAAACCAATGTTGGCCAACAAGAGCCGGACCAATTATGGAATCACATTCAGCTAAGTTGTAGCTAAGGAACTCAGGAAGAAAGAGCTTCTTATATTTTCAGGCTTCCCAGGTTGGATCATGTGCCATCATGTTCTGTATGACATGAAATTGTTAATCCATCAACAGAGAACAAGTCATTTCCAATTCAATTGCTGTCATTGGTATTTGTATTCGGAATTATGCAATCTCACCATGAAATCCACATCGAAAATGCGTCTCTTCCCTGGTCCCAACTCTGCCTCCATGTCCTCCATCACTGCCTTGCACACCAAATTAAGTACCTACAGAAGACAAGTGAAAACATCATTCTGATACAATAATCTCACCAAACATTATCAAACATAAGCATGGGTACAGACACAGAGCATTCTAAAATACCCTGTTATTTATTCTGTTCACTCCACCCAGGGAAAACAGCTATTGTTGGTCTATATCTTCATCAAACATTTTGATGACAGTCCTGCAAACATTGTTAAATGTTAGTGACAGAAAGTATGGTGTTGGGGACATCATCACTTGTCATCCCCATGTAATTTATTGTCATTTTCAATTCTATTGTTGTCATTATTAGTACACACCGTGTCATTTAAAACCAAAAGGCTAGCAAGGGATATACTTACATGTTCCCCTCTTCCTCTCCCTTGGGTCTACGGGATATTAAAGTGAAAAAAATATCCCTTTTGTCCTTTGGCCTCTTCATTCTCGGAGCTGCCTTGAACTCCATCCATGGAGATTTAATTGTGGCACTCTTTGCCCTTGTTGACCTCCTAAACTGGGTCAATTTTTCAGGCCCTCCTTCCTCCCCACTGTCACTGCTCACCCATTCATGATCCAACAGTAAAGGAACATTGGTAGGGGTCATTATCAGTACATGTGTATCTTCCTCACCCTCATCATCTGAATCCCGAACCTCCTTATCATCAACCACATAATCATGACTGACTTCCATGTCATCATGGTCATCTTCCTCCTCATGAACCACATGAGCTCCTTCCCTAGCATCATGGTCATCTTCCTCCTCATCGTCATCGTCATCATCATCACCTCCACGACCATCACGGTCACCCTCATCTTCCACCTCCTCAACCATGTAATCATCACTGACTTCCCTGTCATGAAGGTCATGTTCTTCTTCATCCTCATCCTTCTCATCATCTCCTGTGCTAGTTTCATCCTCATCAAGTTCCTCATCTCTGCTTCCCACTCCAACCTCTCTTGCAATCTCCTCCACCACTTGGTCAACATCATCAGCTTCTTCAGCATTGTTACCACCTGCATCACCAACTGTTTCAACCCCTTCTTTAGTAGTGGCATTCTCATTCCCCTTCCCCTTAACTTTGGTGTTCAATCCAATATGCACTTTGAGTAGCTCATCATCAAGACCCTTCATTAATGTCCTCTGGCTTTCTTCAAGCTTTTTAACAAAAATAAGCCCTTAACTCCTTCAATGCCTGCATACACAGTAAATGAAGATATCAAAAAAGTTGATCACTGTTATCGAATGCCAGTATCTCACTGGTCATTTGTAAATAAAGTCTTGTCATCTCAAGTATCAACCTTGCTAATAGACTTACTTAAACTCAGGTCACGTATATTTTCTAAATTCTAACATACCGGATCTAAAGACTGCAGAATTGGACTGTCCTCATGTCCTGCTGAATAAACCTCGCTGCCACTGCTTCCATGCAGTATTCCTATGCTGCTACCTCTCTCTTTCTCCACCCTCTCCTTTATCTTCTCCTTAGTCTAATATTCAATGGGGCTTGTTAAACCGCGATGAACAAGCAATTCCAGTGGGAAACGCTCAGCAAAATACAACTGCAAAATGAAATAAAGATAGGTCACACTTCTGCAACAATAACATAAAACAAAAATATAGTGACTGGTCAAAATATTGACTTACCAGCAACAAATAGAGACACCCTCCAACATTGCAGGTTCCTTTCTTCTTCTTCGTCATCTTCACAAAGTCTCCCATTTCCTTCCACAGGTTCTTGATTATATATGTTGACCAATCATATTTCCCAAACCCATCCATCATGTGATGCATCACTTTCAGCAAACCAAAAAGCTCTGACTGTATAAAGCATAAATAGGAACTCAAAATTGTTGTTTTCTTTCCCAGATAATATCCTCTTCAGTATCTGGGTAAATGGAGCCTTCCAATAAGTGTCCTTTAACCTCTTGTATGCCGGGTCATCCTCACTAACATCAGATTTCACTTCCTCCCCAACACCTAGTAACTCATGAGCATCTTTTGCTTCAATTGCTTGCCCTTGCCCCCTAATGGTCAAAAATGCATTGGTGGGTCATAGCATCTCAACAATGACACAAGTAGATTACATGGAAGTTGCTTCACATTCACATTAAGCAAGTTCCCAAATCCCATCCTCTCAACTTTCTGCCTTAACCACCTATTCTTCTTCACATACTCAGCCAATGATAGAAATCTGGGCAATGAGCACCGGGTGTACAAGGGAACATCATACTTCTTCTTCTCACCTTTCTCTGGCTTCGTTTTCTTTGCCCTCTCATTATACCTATCTTTCTCTTCCTCACTCAGGGCCCTCCATTCCTTCCCCACTTCAATTTTTTCTTCTCTTGCATTTTTACATTTCTCCCCTCATTTTGCCATATACTCCCTTCTAAACAACACAAGCCTACTGTATACTCCTTTGCTTGCAGACCCTTCCCCTTCTTCCAACACCATCTCATATAGTTCTGCAAAGTCATTAATGTATGATCATTATGTCATAATTGTTATACATATACTAAATATCTAGTTCTTTCCAGGTATGTTATGGTCATTTCCAGTTCCTTCATTGTCATTTACAATATGGCCATTACACACTGACAGTAAGGATGTTACTATGAATATGGTCGTTTCCAATTAATTTATTGTCATTACCAATATGGCCATTACAGACTGACAGTAAGGATGCTACTATGAATATGGTCGTTTCCAATTAATTTATTGTCATTACCAATATAGCCATTACAGACTGACAGTAAGGTCATTACTATGCATGTGGTCGTTTCCAATTAATTCATTGTCATGTACCAGTATGTTATTGTCATTTCTAGTTTGTTGATATAATCTTTCCAGTCAATTAGACAGTAAGGTCATTACTATGAATATGGTCATTTCATGTTCCTCCATAGTCATTTACTAGTATGTTATTGTCATTTCCACTTCCTTCATATAATCTTTCCAGTCAATCAGACAGCAAGGTCAATACTATGCATATGGTCATTTCAGGTTCCTTCATAGTCATTTACCAGTATGTTATTGTTATTTCCAATTCTTTCATATAATCTTTCCACTCAATCAGATAATTTTCCTACTGATTTGAAAACCCATTTTTCCTTAACCTCATAGTTCTCAACTTCATTATAATAAACAAATAGCATGCCACACAGACTCAGCTTAAACCCTTAATCACTGTTCCTGTCATTCACAAACTTCATCGCGTCATATCTAAATATTGCCTAATCATTGCTTCCCCCACTCACCTAGAAACGTCGACCACAGCACGAAACTTAAATGCCTAAACTTACCTCAGTCAAATTCCGCTGATGCTTGTTAACTGCAATGGTGAATCACCACGTGCCACCCTTCCTCCTTTCGCACAATCACACAGACACGACCACGTTCACCCTTCAAATAGCACACCCTTCCACTTCAAACTCCTCTGCTCTCTTACACACATACTATTTCAGGGTCATCAACTATCCAACTTGCCGGCATTTTTAGGGCAACAATAGAGATGGTGGAAGCGAGAAACCGGGAAGCACGAGTCACAGTACACAAGTGGCAGTTGGCGCCTTTCTCTCTCTGCTTTCAAACTCTGACTGCCACAAGGGTTTTTTAGTAATTGCACAACATTTGCATAATCCCAAATTAGGCAACACTTCCCTATCTAGTAATACATTTGCTTAGCTTCCCATTTTGGTATTTCATAATTTCAGGTTTCTTTATGTGTCATTTTCCCTTTCACTTATTATACCACATTTTCATTTCCATTGCATTACTTCATTTACTTTTAGTCTTGTATGGATGCATATAGAGAGTACCTTCTAAAGAACGTTACTACTCAAAAGTCAAGAGACTTTAATTAACTGGATGGATCACATGGGGTGCTTGACTTGTGAGTAGACCCAAAGAATTTTTCAGCAATTGTTTTCTAATTTTTTTTGTTATCATTACTTTATTACGGGTCAAGTCTGTTAGATAACAGCTAGAGATTACCCCAAAAAAATGCAAGTGAGAAGACGTCAAAGCGTCAACAAATATATAATAAGTCCTCAAAAAATGAAAACAAGGAAAATATTGGCCTTTAAATTCAAATTTGTATTTTATTTATCACCCTTTTTGACTTACTATCCATTTGACAAGAAACAACTTCATTTACTTGTGCGTTAAATTTTTATATTGGTAATAATCAATAACTTTTTGGAATCCTTTAAATTATATGAGTATGGTCGTTCATTTTTAAGTTTAAGCAAAACCTGAAGGAAATTTTAGAGATTATTTACTTTTTTTTCCTTACTAAATACTCCTCTGGCCCTATTTATAAGACAGGGAGAGAATGTTTTTCTTAGTTCTATTTATAAGTCAATTCATTAAATTTTTAGCATGAATGTACTATTTTGTTATTAATTTATTATATTGTAGAAAATTATTTTTTTAAAAAAGGAACATATATTAAATAGGAGTAAAATTGAAAAGTTATTATGTTTTAATAGAGTTAATGTTATTTAAGGTTTTTCTTAGTCTATGTGAAATATGCTAGAAATTTCTTATAAATAGGATTAGGGGAGTATAAAATATGAAATCAATGTAAAAATTAGCTAGTCAAGTATGAAATCATATGTTTAAAAATATTCATTCATTTTAAGGGGCGACGTAATTACTTTTAGGTGAAAAGAATGGCGAACTCCTGTGCTCTGACCTTGGCGGACTTTCCAATGCTCCGTGAACGTCATGCCGCGGATGAATCGGACCTGTTGCAAAGAACAAAGAAGAAGATGAGAGAAGGTGCGGAGCTTAGGATTCAGGAGCAAAATGGTTATGTTGTCTCTTATGCTAATAAATTGAAGGGTGAGAGTAAGGGGGAATCAGAGACGGATCGGATGGAGGAAGAAGGCTTAGATGACCTTAGCATTATGATTGTGCATCATTTAAAGGGGAATATGAAGATTCCTGAATTGGTGTTTTCAGGGGCAGAAGAAACTTAGGAAGCCATTTGCTAAAAATCTAATTGTCAAGCTCCTTGGGTGGAGACTTAGCTTACGATCGATGGAGCTAAAGCTGCAGAATCTATGGGGCAAACAGGGAACGGTTTCAGTGGTGGATCTAAGGAATGATTTCTTTGTGGTAAATTTCACAAATTGGGAGGATTACCATAGAGCCTTGAGTGGGGGCCCTTAGCTTATTACTGATCACTACTTGACTGTAAGGGAGTGGAGAGGCAATTTTAACCAGCTGACAGAGGTGCTAGAAGAGGTACTGGTATGGGTTAAACTCTCAGATCTGCCCCTAGAATGTTATGAGGAGATTGTGTTGCAAGCAATTGGTGATCAAATAGGCAAAATAGTCAAGGTGGACTCAACTACACTAATGCAGACTCGAGGGAAATTTGCAAGAATTAGAGGGCAGGTAGATCTGTCTAAACCTCTACTTCCTCAGTTTCTTATTGGAGGAAGGTGTTTAATGTTAAATATGAAGGTTTATATTCCCTATGCTATCATTGTGGCATGTATGGGCACAGTGAGAAGGATTGTGCAGACAAAGTGGAGGAAACAAGTAAGACGAATGAGGATATGGAGGAATGTGAAAGGTAGGACAGATCCGGGAGCCTTTATGGAGAAGGGACTTTAGTCCAGAAAAGGAGGGGGCCAAGGAGAGCAGGAATGGAGAGAAGAGGTTTTGTCTCTTCAGGGGGGTTGGAGCTGGGCAATCCAGATTTAATGGGTTGGAGGTTAAGGAGCTGGACAGGATCGAGAAAGTAGTGGGAAATGATAGAAGTCTGGTTGTTTCCTCGATTTCTATTGAGGGAAAGAGAAAGAATAGAATAGTTGATAATAGAATGTGGGAAGAAGTGGCTGAGGAGTGGAAGAGTAACAATCGTGAAAGGGAAATTGTTCCTGTGAACACGGTATTGGTAAGAAATAGGCAGTTAAATAAGAGTGAAAAGGAAGGTAACACACAAGGGGATGAAGTGAGGGAAGCCCCTCAAGGTGAGAAGGAGAAGCAAGAGAGGGGTTATTTAAGAGAACTAGATCCGAATGTGATAAGCCTTAGAGAAGGTAGGTTTGAGAGCAAGGAGGCTTAGATAGACAAAGAAGGGGGGAAGCCGCCGGATAAAGAAAGAGATAATGATAAGTTGTTTATAGAGGCAGTGGAGGAGAGTGCTGAGATGTGGGTTGATTAAACTTTTATTTTCTTCTTAATGAATATGAACAAAAATGTTCTAGCTTGGAATTGCAGAGGTGCTGGAGGAAAGGAGGTGAAGAGGGATCTAAGAATGATGATTAAGATGAAGAAACCAGAAATTGTCAGTATCATGGAAACTAGAGCACCTGCGAGAAATGCCCAAAATTTCTTTCAAAGTTTAGGGTTTATAAATGTGGAAGCCATTAAGGAGGTGGGATTTGCAGGGGGAATTTGGGTGGCCAGGAACAAGTCAAGGGTCAGCCTAACGTGTTTAGAAAAGAGATAGCACTATGGATTGTTTCGAATCCAGTTTGATGGAGAGGAGCCATGGCATATTGTCTTTGCTTATGTGGCTCCAAGAGACAGAGAGAAAGAAGATTTCTAGAGGAATATGGAGAGAATAGCAAAGGAGTGTAATGGGCATTGGGTGGTGTTGGGAGATTTCAATGATATTAGAGGAGCTCATGAGAAGAAGGGGGGAGCTCCTATCAATTATAGAAGATGTGATACTTTTGAAGATAGAATTAACAAATGTGGTTTCTTTGAAGTAGCATCTTGTGGTAACAGATTCACTTGGAAAGGACCCCTTATTCATGGTTACCAAAGGGTGTATGAGCGCCTTGATAGGGGTTTTTGCAGTGCTGATTGGAAAATTAAGTTTTCGGAGGTGATTGTTAAAGTTTTGGCAAGATTGGGTTGTTTGGATCATCACCCTATTCTATTGAGCATGGAAAGGTATGAAAGAAGAGGAGAGCATCCTTTTTGCTTTAAGGCAGCCTGGTTTATGCATGATTCTTTTCAAAACAAAGTCAAGGAAGGTTGGGGAAGAGAAGGAGTGGCTACAGACAGACTTGTGAATTTGCAGAGAACACTTAGCAAGGGGGACAAAGAGGTGTTTCTGAATGTTCACTCAAAAAAGACAAGACTTCTTGCGAGATTGGAAGGAGTTCAGAAACAGATTGTTGCGTCTGATAGACATTATATGCATTTGTGTAAACTAGAACAGGAGATACAAGGGGAGCTTAGAGATGTTTTGAGATAGGAGGACTTGCTTTGGTTTCAGAAGTCCAGAACCCATTGGATTAATGATGGTGACCGTAACACTAGATATTACCATCTAAGGACTGTTGTAAGAAGAAGGAGAAATAAAATTGCCATGCTTAAAGATGAGAATAGGGAATGGATTGAGAGTCAAGAAGAGTTGAAAAGTTTGGCTCTGGAGTTCTATAGGAACCTCTTTAGGGATAAGGGGACAAGAGGGAAGCTTGAAGTAGGGGTGTCTTACCCTAGAATTAGTGAAATGAGTTGGGATCAATTGGAACGGCCAGTGAATTTGGAGGAGATAAGGGAGGCGATGTTTTCTATTGGGGCTTTTAAAGCACCGGGGTCAGATAGTTTTCTAGCGGTTTTCTTTCAAAAGGAGTGGCATGTGGTTGAGGAAGAGGTGGTGACTTCCATTAAGAAACTATGGAATGGAGAGCTAGAGATAAAGGAAGTGAATGATACTTTGATTGTCCTGATTCCTAAAGTTGATCAGCCTGAGAATATGAAGCAGCTGAGACCCATTGCTCTATGCAATGTGTTATATAAGTGTATCTCAAACATCCTGGTTAAAAGGCTTAAAGGAATTTTGGGGAGGCTTGTAGCTCCAAATCAAGTAAGTTTCATGCCTAGTTGTCACATCTAGGGCAATATTATTGTAACTCATGAGTTACTACTGCATTCTATGAGATTTATGCGAGGTCAAAAGGGTTTCTTTGCTATAAAAATGAATTTAGAGAAGGCTTATGACCATGTGAGATGGGACTTTATCCAGGAAGTTTTGGAGGAAAGGGGGATGAAGGAGAAGTATCGTGATCTGTTAATGAGATGTATTAAGTCTGTAGGAACACGCCTACTTTGGAATAGAGAAAAGACTGAGGCATTTTGGCCCTCAAGAGGAATTAGACAAGGGGATCCCTTGTCCCCTTATGTGTTTGTTCTAGTAATGGAACGTTTGACTCATATTATCCAAGAAGCAGAGAGGAAGGGGGATTGGAAAGCTATCTGTATTGGAAGAAGGGGACCAAGTGTTACACACTTAATGTTTGCTGATGGCGTTCTTCTTTTTGGGGAGGCAACACTACAGCAGATTAAAGTAGTTAAAGACTATTTGAGAAGGTTTGGTGAGGCTTCTGGACAAAAGGTCAACTCTGCTAAGTCTGCCATATTGTTTTCTAAAAATGTCTCTAATGATAACAAGAAAGTTTGGTCCCAAGAGGCAGGTTTTAGGGTGACTGATGATTTGGGAGTTCACCTTAGAGTTCCTACTTATTATGAAAGGGGTAAGACCAAAAGTTTTGGGGGATTGGTAGAGAAGGTGAAATGAAGATTGGGAGGTTGGAAGGTCAATGTGGTAAGTATGGCAGGTAGGGTCACACTGGCAAAATCTATTATTAGTGCTATCCCCCTGTATTCTATGATGGTGATGAAGATTCCTACGCAGATCATTAGCAGTATTGAAAGGACCCAAAGGTCATTTATTTGGGGACAGTCAATGGAAGAGAGGAAATTGCATCTAATCAAATGGGAAACTGTCCAAAAACCCAAAGACAGAGTTGGTTTGGGGGTCCTAAGCTTGCAGCATATGAATGAGGCTTGTTTGATGAAGCTGGTGTGGAGATTAAGGAATGAGGGAAGTGGACTCTGGGTTGACGTTCTCAGGTATAAGTATAAAAGGGAAGGCCTTTAGCAGTACTGTTAAGGTGCAACGAAATGCTTCTTCTGTCTGGAAAGATATTGGAAGTGTGTGGAAAAACTTAATGATGGGATCTGGTGGGGTGTAGAGTCAAGAGAGAATGTGAATTTCTGGAGGGATGAATGGGCAGGAAAGGGCGTTGTGTTACTAAATGAGCGACGCTATGAAATAGAGGAAGAGAAGTTGAATTGGGTGGTAGCTGACCTAGTTAAAGATGATGGTTCCTGGGATTGGTCTCTACTAAAAGAACTACTCTCCGATCAAGCCTGTATGAGGCTTCAAGCCCTTAGGCCACCGACGAGGGGATAAGGAAGATCCCATTTTTTAGGGGAATGATAGTAATAAGTGCTATAGTGTTCGTAGTGGTTACAGATTACTCAGAGATTGTCGACTGGGGGAGAAAGAGAAGATTTGGGATTTGATTTGGAAGTGGAAAGGGCTAGAACGGATCAAAAATTTTCTCTGGATCTTGGCTAACAATAGCCTTCACACAAATAATCTAAGAAACAAGAGATGGGGGTAGCAAATGAATGTGGAATGTGTGCAAAGTGAAACTTCAATCCATGTGGTTAGGGATGTGAGCTAGCTACAAGACTGTGGTTTGGTTTGAACAACAAAATCAAGCCAGGATTTTTCAACAGCAGTACCAAAGAATGGCTTGTAGAAATCTAAAAAGTAAAGAGTTGTGCAGTGGTGTACCTTGGGTGTGCTTTTTGAGTCGCTTGCTGGAGCTTATGGAAATGACGAAATCTTCGAATCTTTGAGCAGAGGATGGAAGAGGCGAATCCTTGGCAGATCTGATCCTTTGCTATGGAGGTGTTTAGAGTGGCGAAGGCTAATAAAGAGAAGAGGGGGTGTCATATAGATGCTGATGAGAATGAGTGGAGAGTGTCAGAGATAGTTTGGGTGAAGATTAACTCGGATGGATCGAGTAGAGGAGTCCCTGGCCGTGCTGGCTGCGGTGGTGTGCTGCGAGATCATGAGGGAGAATGGATTGTTGGTTTTCGCAAGGGATTAGGTTGTGTATAGCTTATGAAGCAGAGTGTTGGGGAGCTTTCCTAGGGCTACAGTTGGCGCTAGAGAAAGGCTACCAGAGAATTCACCTGGAAGTTGATTCTGAGAGCTTGGTGAAGGCTTTGAGCAAAGATGAAGGAGGATGAACCAATTGATGCACACACTAGAATGGTTAGAGATGCCGTAGATCGTTGTGCAAGGATTTGGATCTCGCATACTCAGAGAACTAATAATGGTTACGCTAATGTGATGGCGAAATGGAGTGCAAGGTGGGATGGGTATGAGGAAAGACGTCTTTTTTCAAAGCCCCCACCTATAGTGCAAGAGGTGTTCAAAAAGGATTAGATAGGAAGTAGATGGCATGATGCTGGTTGAGTTCTTGTCGGTCTTGCCTTCCTTGTAATTTCCTTTTATTTTTTCTAGGTTGTGGGCCCCCCTGTCTACAAAAAAAAAATATTCGTTCGTTTTTTCAAATCAATATTATTTTTTGTGATAATTAAGTTTAGAAAGAAGAAAGATATATGTCAAATTATGGGCACATGAATAAACATCAAATTATCTTGATTGACCAAAAAATAGAATAAAGATCAAATTAATTAAGGAAGTATGCGATAAGTAACTTAAAAAAGAAAAAAACAAAGGTGCGCATACCTATAGAGTTTTTTTTTTGGCCAAAGAGCATACTCGTCGAGTTGAAAAGCAGAAAATTGCATAGTAGTCTTAATTTCATATTCACAGCAACACTCAATTCAATCTCTCTGTCCGTTTGGCGTGAGAGAAATAGAGGAGAGAAAAAATTTCGAAGAACTCCAATTAAAAAAATTGAAGAAATAAGATTAAAAGCTTTTAATTAATTTTTATTATTTTTTATTTTACATCTTTTCTTTATTGAAATTTTATAATCCCATTTTTTTCAATTTTTAAAATTGAGCTCATAAAATTTTTTCCTCCTCTTCCTTCCTCTCCATTTTCCTCATACCAAATATCCGGTAATATAGAGAAACTCACTGGATGAATATGAATTCAACATTACATTATTTTATTTGACGTATGAAAATGTTGCGTAGAAAAAAGACAATACATAACGCAATCTAAATTGTAGAAAATGCCAGGAAACCATGTTCTAAGAATTTAAAGAATACCTACCTTTAAAGAATTTAAGGAATTGCTAAAATTTAAATTAAAAAATTAGAAATTTTTAATAGGTTTTAATAATCCCACTGTGTGTTCTACGGAGTACCAATGGAATCCAAAATTCAGTTTTAAATGTTTCACTTTTTTATCGGGCTCAACATTAAGTTGTCCCCAAAAGTAAGTTACATAAAATATCATATTAAAAAATAGATAGAAAATTACGTGCACCACGAGAAGCTTTAACCCTGTAAGTAGTCAATTATCACATCAAAGATCATACTGTATTAGTCATACAGACGTAAGCCCATAAAAAACATTAGTGATGAAAGGAACCTTTGTTCCTGTAATTTCACTTCTTAGACCATATTTTCATTTTTCATTGTATTATTTTATCTATGGTCAGTCTTGCAGGCCATATATGGAGTACCTCTAACAGAATGTTAACGTTACTTGTGGGAAGAAGCATGGATGGAAGTATTGTCTATGTAGTGCTTGACTTATGAGTAGACCTCAAAATCACACTCCATTTCATACGAAACAGCTTATGTATTTGTATGTTTATTTCAAAAGCCACAACACTAATTAAATTTATAATCTACTATCTACACCAGAAATTTAATATAAGAAAAATAAAATATAAATTTATTACAAAATGATCTTCACTTGAGTTGTTCTCTTATCTAATATAAAAACTCAATTCGGTAACTTCTAGATCTAGCTTTGCTAAAAATTTCCCTTTTAAAATTTATTGCTTAAATGAAAGGTATTTGAAATTTGTTTAATGGAACGGAGGGGAGGTGAGGTGAGGTGAATAAAGAGGAGAGGGAGAAGAGAAGAGAGAGGTTATGAGTGTAGTTGGGTTGGAAGGAAAGAGAGGGGATGCGAGATTTCTTATTTGGTTTAGAAGGAGAAGGGATGAAAGCTAATTATAAGTTGGCAAATATATCCTTATCTTTTTATTTAAACTTTTTTATTATTTTATTGCGATATTTATATCATTATTATTATTTTCTAATATGTGAATATAAAAAAACAGATACCTTGATATACAACAAATAGATTATAATAATCATATATAAAAAAATGTTGATAAAAAATATTATATCTTTAGCAATATTATTAAATTATAAATAAATTTATGCTACAAGTTTTAAACT